CTGCTCGCGCTTCGCGCCCCGCCCGGCGGCTGCGGAGCGGCTTTCCAGGAACTTTCCAGGAATCCGCCTCACGTGACCGCAGCCCCCGCGACCGCTTTAAAGAGGTTCGGGCGCGAACGCGCAGGCCTGGGACCAGAGCTGGGCGCGCGCGGGGGGCCAGAGGCCGCAGGGTGCACGCCCGGGCTCCGCCCTCCGTGACCCCACGCGGCTGGGCGCTGGGGTGAAGGGAGAGGCTCCCGGGCCCCCTGACCCCGCCCGGCCGCTGGTGCCCGCCCCTACCCGTGTCGCCTGAGCACCCCCGCCAGCCGACTGCAGCTGTCCTCGCCCCTCCCCCGGGGGCGGGGGTTCCCCCCTCCCCACCCCACCCCACCCCACCCCACCGCGCCTCCTCCCTGCGACCCTCCAGGCCGCACGAGGTGCAGGAGACGACTGGGTCCGCGGAAACCGAGCCCTTCCGCTGCCACAGCACAATGATGGCCCGGGACGGGCAGCTGCGCGGCTCAAGTATCCACCCAGGACCCCACGGTTGGCGGCGACCTCTGGCCGGGGTCCCAGGAGGCTGCGCCCAAGCGGAGAAGAGCGCCTCCTTCAGGCGCGCGGGCGCCTTGGTCCCCCTCCCCGGCCTCGGCTTGCCGCCTTGCAGCCCTGCCTGACTGCCCTGCCGGGCTCTGCCTTGCCCCCTCCGCCTCCCCGCGGTCAGCTGCGAGCCCGCGCCCGCCCGGCTCACCTGCGTCCAGCCCCGAGAGCGCTTGCGGCTGTGATTCCCCTTGGAAAGGGAGCTCAAGGACCCGGAATTGGGAAGGACCCGGCGCCTCTTCCTTCCCCGGGACCTTCACCTCTCACCCCGGAGGAAGCCACCTGGCCTTAGTGGAAATTCATCTTCCTAAGCTGCACAGCCGCCCCTGAAGTGTGACCTACTTTAAGTATGACCTATTAAAATCATTAACACTCACGGGAAAACAGGACCCAAAATTTTGATAACCATTTTTCTTTGAATTACTCGATTGCATCACTGCCCAAAAGCTTGAAAGGTCAATGGCCATTTTTAGTCCAAGCGGTGGCTCTGGGGAAGTTGGGCGAGGCAGGGAGGGGGGAGGGGTGGGAGGCGCGGCGTGCATAGCTTGCCTGATGCCCCCCCTACCGGCTCCGAGAGGAAGCTCGCGCCTGCTCCCAACCTGGCTGGTGTTGGAGACCAATGTTTTTCTCAGTAATTTTCCTGCTTTTGATGTAGGCAGGTGAGTTTCTCAAATGAAGGGCTTTGTCGCAGATGGAGTCGTGTCCCCATGGGGATGCTTTCTAAGCTGTTCCAGCAATCCCAAAGAACAGTTGATGGGGTCAGACCTAACCTAGGAAGGTTCTAGATATATTTGGCTTTCCATACATTCAGTCGTCAAGGCCCTTTGTGGTGTGCCGGGGACAGGCAGAAGAAGTACCTGTTGGTAAATCGTGAACACCACTCCTGGCCTAGTCATGGAATTCTGAGAAGCAGTGGCGTCCGGAGCACCCAGTGAACCAATCTGGGTGCTTCTCCTTTGTGAGAGGGTTTGAATCTCTTCCCAACATGTTACAGCATATACGTGATTTATTCTTACAACAATCTTTTGATAGAAGAAATACTTCCTTTACGTGTAAGCAAATTTAAGCGGAAGTACATCAAGTAGTTATTTCCATGTTGTAGACATAGGGCTTAGTGCAAACAAAGGTAACATTCTAGGTGGAAAAGAAGCAGGGAGGGAAGTGGCTTTAAAGTAGGCCAGTGGAGGGAGATGTGGGGGGTGGAGATATACTTATGTATGTGATAGGTTCCGGCCCTAGTATGAATTAATAAATTATTATGGTGGTCATCTAATATGGCTGAAGCCCTTAAAACAACAGTTTATCTTCCCAGAGACTACTCCCCCTTCTTCTCCAACCTACCCCAGGGTGCAATTTCCTTTCACCTGACCTGCCGCCTCAGGGAAGACCCCAATCAGCTGCTCAGGTATATCTAAACATCCCCCTCAAATTCCACCCTTGGCAGAAGGCCATAAGGCCTCAGCCTCCCTTTGCTCCAACCCAGAGAATTCTTTATCTTCCCCAGATTCTCTCCATGTCCTCAAAGATAATAAAGCCCCTTTCCCTTTTCCTTCTGCCTGTTTCTCCCCTGCAATGCCATCCAAGCAGGATAGCTTGGTAATGTACTGCTGGTTTCTCCTGGTCTATTGAAAGACGCAGTTAGTGGTTTAAAAATGTTTTCTCTTTTTAATTTCTTTTTCTTTTCTTTTTTTTTTTTCTGTATTTTAGGGAAGGGTCTACAGGGTCTCACTACTAGATCGGACTTGTAGTGATCTGCCAGTTTACAGCCTCCCGAGAGCTGGGAATACAGGTGTGCGCAACCATGCCCAGTCTCAAAGCACCCTGGGGGCTGCATGTTCTTTTTAATTTCTTACAACTTTTCTTTTTCTCAATTTTGCATGCATGTATTTGGTAATCTAAACAGCTAATTTGAAAACACCGCTATGTGAGACGACCAACATTGTTGAATTCCTATTACTTTGTTTAGTGAAATTCTGAATCACTTCTACTGTTTATTATTATTGTGTACCTCTTTTCAAAATAAAAAATAAGTTTTAAAATGTAAAACCTAGGTCCTTCAAATCATTAAGCATCAGTCCAAATAATGAGGTCTGCATGTTCTCAAAGATTATCACCATATTTAAACACAGACCATGGATAAAGACTTGAAGGGGAAGTCGAGTCCTTCCTGCTTTTTTGTTTAATTTTTTTGAGAAACAAATAGCAATGACATAGTTTCAAAACAGATTAGTAGGACAGTTACAATAATTAATACATTGCATATTGTTTTCTTTGTAGTGGTTATTCATAGTACAAGATGCAGACATGATATCCTACCCAAAAATTATGAGTACAAATCTTTCTTCTCATTGAATTAAGAGAAAGTAGCTTTATATTGATCCTAACTATTTTGTATATATAGATACAAAATGGTCCTTCATTTGTATCCCCTTTTTTTGTTTAGTTTTGTCAGAGATGGGTATTCCATTGCCCATCTCTAGGCAATAATAATAATAAATAAATATTGTAGGTGTGTAAATTCAGTAAAATAATCCAATATAGTCCAGTAGTCCATAATAGTAGTGGGTTATCTGTAGGACTGGCAATGTCAGAAGTTGTTGACTTGAGCCTTTTACAGCTCAATTCCTGCTTTCTTTTAGAATACTTTCGGTCAAAAATTTGTAGGGGGCCAGTGAGACAGCTCAGCAGATTAAAGCACCTGCTTAGGCAAGCTTAGGCAAGCGCAGGGACTGTGGTTTGATTCCCAGCACCATGTGTTGCACCAGCCCCACGCCCACGGCAGGCTGAGCCGGCCAGAGTCCAGGAGTGGTGGTGCACACCTGTAATCCCAGCACTGGGGTGGCTTAAAGCAGGAGGATCACCACAAGCCGAGCTGTGTACTGAGACGCGGCAACAACCAATACATTAAAGAAATAAATAAATAAATAGAAATTTGTACATTTCAGTATGTGTCCAAAATTCTAAATTTCTTATAAAATATACACAAAAAATTATTTAGAAATAATTTTGTGAACATCATAGCCATACATTCAATAAATTCTGCCATTTTTTCAATTGGTTTTTCCAATTGAAGATTTTTATTGCAAGCTCTCCTAAACCAGTTACTTCATTGTTTTCCTCTCATTGTAAAAATCCATACTTAAAAGAGGCCAATTTGTCTGGCAACATTACTAGGCAATTCTTTGTCAACGTATTTTTAACCCATGGTCTGCAATAATTGCAGCTCCGCCACAACCACCTAAATTTCCCCTGCCATGTGCACATTGTATTGTGCCATGCATAGATAAATCCTATTGTGGCTCACTGACATCAGCTGTTCACATGACAAAAAATGACAATGGCATAATTTGAAATGAACAAATAAGTAACCAATCTGTTTTAGTCCGGTTCAATAGTGTACACTACAAGGCACATATGTTCAGACACTGGGGCATATTTGCAGGTGATTGGCTCTTGAGGGCACTGACCTCATCAATGGATCAATTTATTGCTGAGTTGATAATCAAAGGGACTATAAGGAGGCGGACACAGCAGAATGACGTAGGCGCATATGGGCATGCTCCTGAAGGGAGTATCCTACGTCATACTTTTTCCCTGTTCTGCTTCCAGGAGGCGAGCTGATGTGCTCCGCGATGCCCTTCTACCATGATACTTCTATTTATTGCCTTGGGGCCAGCTCACCACTGACTGAAGCAGCCGAAACCGTGAGCCAAGATAAAGCTCTCCTCCTGTAGTCATGGATGTCTAGTGATTGATCACAATAGCGAGAAGTTGGCTGATACACTCATTGCAGCAGGTGGGAATAAGATTATTGTATGCCCACATCACACACAAAGGCCATTACAAAGTAATAAGACACAAGCTACTCAAGAAGAAACATGATTTGTGTAGCCCTATTTCTATGAAAGATAAAAATGCTCCAGTTTTGGAAGACCTTGTTGATAACCTCTATTGCACCTTTAATAGAGAAATAATACCTACCCTACATAAACTTCCAAAGCAGAAGTAGGATCACTTAACAACTCCTGTTAGGAGACCAGCATTATTTGAAGACCAAAG